ATATTATATTAGATTATATCATATTAGTATACTATATGATAAGTATCAGTATATTATGTTGGACTATTCTATTTTGATATGTTATATTGTGCTACGTAATACTAAATTTTTTATGTTCTATTAGGTTATACTCTGCTACATTGTATGTTGTTGCATTCTACTATATTTAGGCACATATGCACACATGCAACGACCCCGACAACAAATGCAAAGCCCCATAACAAATGTCCTGGGCACTACTTGTCCTGATAGTGGTGCGATTACTTCTTTTGTATTCGTAAGCAAAGGCATACTCTTGTCGTTGTTGCTGTCTTGAACAGACTTCTGAGGTTGCCGTAAACGCACGTGATAGCATCTTATCATAACTCCCCGTGAATTTCATAAAAACCCTTACAAGCACCAAAAAGACGTTGAAAAAACAAAACTCTTATTCCAAAAACAGTAGCCGTAGTACTACGATAGCAATAATCACAATCACAACATGAAAAATCATAAAGCTGATCGTGACTCTGCTAGTGACAACAAACTTGCAATGAATTGTGTTGAAACTGTTGACACTGACAGCACGAATTCTAGAATAGTAATACCAGCACTAGAAAGAAAATCCAAATAACAATATCCATAATAATAATAAGAAGAAGAACAGTAGTAGCAACAATGAAAAGAAAAAGAACGGCAATAGCAATAATACTTTTACTTTCTCCCTTTCGATCTCCCTTTCAAAAGCCGCCAAGGCGAGAAAAGAGCCCAGCGACGGAGGCGGTTGTCCCCTAGATGAAGCTCCAGGAGGCCCTGTAGATTGCCTTGTTTAGGTTTCAGGGTTTGGGAGTTAGGGCTTTTTGAATTTTAGAGTTTAGGGATTGGGCCGTTTGGGTTTNNGTTTGGGGTTTTAGGGTTTAGGGTGGGTGTCAGGCTTTACGGGTTCCTTAAAGGGTCGTGTTCGGGCTTCCCATCAGGGCTCGCATCAGGGCTAATATACGGGTTTATCAAAAGGGGTTTACTGCAGGTTGCCTTGTGGGTGGGTTTGGGGCTTGAGGGTTTAGGG